TCTGCTCATCCTCTCCTCCTTCGCTCGTCTCCCGCCCCCCCCCCTTTTTTCTCGTTCCCTTTCCCTCTGCCTCTCTCTTCCTGTCTCTCTGTCTCTGTCTCTGTCTCTCTGTCTCTGTCTCTGTCTCTCTCGCTCGCTCTCATCGTTGAGCAGGAGAGTGGGATGAAAGCATCTTCGCCGATTGCGCGAGCTTCATCCAAGTTTGCCATCCCTACTGGGCGCGAGGAGCGAGGAGGAGGAGGCTTCTCTTTTCGGTCGAGTCGGTTCTTTTCCTCCCAAGACGCTCAAGATGCGGCAGATGAACGTAACGGAGCAGCTCTGTGACGAGACCCTCTTAAGTTCGAGCTGGAACAATGTGAGGGTTCGCTTCTCCTCCTCCTCCTCCTCGTTGTTCCTCCTCTTCCACCCTTGTCCTCTCCATCTCTCTCGCCCTTCTCCCTTCTTGCCCTTCCTCGCTTCTTCCATCTCTGTCTTCACGCTCTTCTCCTTCTGCTCTCCTTCCCCTCTGCTGAGATTGTCCTCTGCTATCAGAATGGAGCCAGACTTCTCCTGCAGGTCCTGCAGGACTCACAAGCAAACAAGTTTTGCTGCTCACGTCGGAGGTGAAAAGTGAGATCATAGATACAATGAAACACAATCATACAAGTTAAACAATAAATCAATCAGTCCTCCTCCTCCTCCTCCTCCCTCTCTCCACCAACTCTGGAATCCCTTGAGGCCTACACGTCTCTCTCCTCCCCTTCGCTTCCTCCTCCTCCTTCAGTCTGCGATCCTCTGCCGGAGGAGCTTCAGCGAGTCTTTCAGCCCCCTCGAGATCGATCGCCGCAGCATCTTGCCATCTTCATCTGCCCTGATCCCCTCGCCACTCACCGCCACTTCCATCTCCACGAGCACAGCCTGCGCCTCCTGGTTCTTGTCCCCTTTGATCCGAATGCTCTCCACCCATCGCTGCTCCCTCCCGTCTCCTCGTCTCACCTTCCCTTCAAGCACGAACTCAGCAAAGTGCGTGCTCGCTGACGTTGGGAACTGCCGCTCGAGAACGGTCCAATCCACGTGCCACGTGCTTCCTCCAAACTTCATCTCCTCCGAGAACAGCTCCCCTGCCATATGCGCGTTCAACCAACCAAGCGCTCCAACCTAGCCATCTCTCTCCCTTCCTCCATCTCTCTCCCTTCCTGAATCTTCCCTCACTCAATTTCCATCCATCCTTCCTCGCTCCCTCCCTCTCGCTCCCTCCCTCTATCCACACCAGCTTTTCTCTCCCTTCCTCCTGGTCCTCCCTCACCTGTCACAGCAGAGTGATCGATGGCTGGCCCAGCCACCTCCACCGCCCCCATGTGCCACTCCGTCCGAAAGTCGGGCGTGCTGATGTAGTCGTATGCCCGGCCCAGTTTCGTTCGGATGGTCTTGGATGCTATTACGCTCCTGAGAGCGTTGGGGTCCTTAGTGTCCTTCCCGCCCTTCTTGCTCATCAAGTAGATGTAGCCTGCCGCCATGAGAGCAGAAACAACACCGATCTGTGTACACTCATCAGTTCATCACCAAGCAAAGGCAAGGTAAGGCAAGGCAAGACAAGGCGCTGAACGCACGTAGAGTTGGTGTTGTAGGTTGAACCCGGGTCGATCAGCCTGTGCGTTCCGCGGGCTCCGAGCCTTCTTCTGCACCGGCCTAAGTTTCTTGTCTTCGTCTCGCTCGTCTTCAGAGTTCGATGTCAGGGTCATGTCCTCGTTACCTTCGTCTGCCTGCTTACGATGTGAAAAACAACTTCTATAATTCACACTCCGTCCTACCTTAGCTTGCATCTCCTTCATCCAGCCTTCGGGCATGATGATCGTGAAGACTTGAAGCCTTTCTGCTGCAAGATTTTCTGATCTAGTTAAAACCCATACTCTTCCGAGAATGAGGAAGAGACTTTGTTCTGCAAATCACTACATCAGCCAGCGATAGTTGAAATTCGATATGAATTTTTGAAAAAAAGGGTTCTTGAAGGATGTAGCAAGACGATGAGCGGATGTGAAAGAGCTCAAGTATACGTAGGAGATGGAAAGACTAGTCTCAGAGGGAAGAAACCAACCCCGGATCGTGAACGAAGTATTTGGACACAGTGAAGCAGTGTTGAAACCATTAGGGAAACAAAGAACAACTCTTGGGCGGTGATTGGGAATTACGTGATTGGGAACTACTTGTCCAGTCCCTCTACAATCACATCAATCAATCAATCAATCATGTTCCTATCAAATTTCTACAACCGGCTTCGAGGAAAGCTTCATTTCAGTTTCCCTCTTCCTCTTTATATCCTATTTCGATCCATCCTCCATGCTAGCCCAGCGAGCTGCATCATCACTGCTATAGATTATCACCTGCACCTTCTCTCTCAAAGCATCTTTCCTCTCACTCCCCTCCCCTCCCCTTCCCTCCCTCCCTGCGCAGGCGGCTGCATAGCTCGGATTTGCCTTGGTGGGTGATGGTAGTACGGCCTCTCCGTGGGGTGAACATTGTACCCCACTTTTCCTCTATTTTCAGTCATAATTTATGGGTAGGGTAGTCAAAAAGAAGGGGGTGGTGGGTGAGAAGCACGGGTAGGGGTTGGTCATCCTCACGCGCAAAAGAATCCAGAAGTTTTACTCATTGTTCTTATAGTTTTAGTCAAGTAAATGTTTCTTGAGGTCTCCAAATTTTGGATAGTAATTGGGACCTATGTCTCTTTGCTGTCCCCTCATCAGGTTGCTCCCGCGCGGCCACGCCTGCCTCAGTGAGCTCATGACTGCCGCCGCAGTCACGGGCCGTGCCAGGGCAGCCCGGGCGCCAGCGCCCGGCGCGCGGGAGCCCGGCTCAGCGCCCGGCCCTGGCAGTCGGACCGTTGTGAACTGAGTAAGCCGCGCCGCGCCGCCCGCGGCCGGCCGCCGGCCGGGCGGGCCGGGCTGCGCCGGGAGCCTCTCGGGGAGATCCGATCCGAGACCGTACCCGGTCGAGTCACCGCCGCGGTCGCCGGCCCCGGGACTCTAATGTTTAATTGAATTCCTCCCGTCACTCAGGGGGCGTATAGCCCAGACGGAAATAGGCGGCTGACCGTTGCCATCAAGTGTCGTGCAGGTGCAACCAGAGAGACGTATTGCCGTTGGCGATGAACGAGGGGGGTGGGGAAGGGATCGATGGCCCCAGTACCCGGTACAAATAGATGAAACAAGTAGGGTACTGATGGACCAGGGTGGGTACAGTGGAACTGGTAGACAAATTTGAAATTGAATTCTCAAACGTCAATAAACCTTCCTGTGGTCAAAATTTTAGCTGACTCAATTTTGACCGCGGTCAAACTGTTAGTTACTACTACACTCCTAATAGGGAAATTTGACCTTGTTTTGACCGTGGTCAAATAGATAAGAAGTTTGACCGTCATCAAAGCATTTGACCAGTAGGGGGCTCATCGTCCGTTGTGGCGCTTCCCTCCCTACCCTCGCTCCAACCACCCCACCCCCCCCCCTCTGACTTCAGTTTGAAATTTAACCCCGTCCTTGGGCACGTTTTGGCCCTAGATACCACCCCTTATTGTACTGCTGTACGCATCACAACTCTCGTATAGCCAACACCCTTTATCACAGTCTCTGCAGTACACCACCCCAAAATATTTGTATTAACTGATAATTTGTACCATTCTAGCCTATAGTTCAGTACCAGAGCTAGTCACCCCTACCCCCATTCATTAACAACCTTGTATCTCAACCTATCTTTGGGGGTCATCAGCACCACCCCCCACCCACTTTTTTCCTCACTGTTTCCCTCCTCCACGCCTACCCCTGCGATCCCTCCCATCTCCCCCGCTTGACTGACTACTTCCCGTTCCTCCTGCTTCTTCCTTGTGGCACGAACTAGTTCTTCTTTCCCCTCCCCCTCCCAGCCTCGCACTTCCTTCCTATCCTTCTCTCTCTTCACCTGCTCTCCCCGTTTCCTCACTTCCTGTCGTACTTCCTTTCGTACTCACCCTTTCCTCTTGACTCTCATCTCACAACACTCCATAATCTTCGATCATGCCTTCATCTTCGACCTCGGAGCGCGTGCTGGTTTCCCTCATCTTGATTGGCTTCTTGCCTCAAGTCTATTCTTTCTCTTCGTCTTTCTGCGCGAAACAGCCAAACCTCAGAATACCTCACGGAGTATGCAATGTGTACAACATGAAAGTTGCGCTTCAGACGCCATCTCTGAGGAGAAGTCAGATGCAGCTGAATCTCTTCGGACGTAATCCGACTCAGTTCACATCCTTGGTTCAGCTTTCTCTCGCAGCCCCCTTTGTGATCTTGAGGCTGTACCAACATTATCTCGGTCTCTACCCGCAAGTGATGGATGCTATGACGGGAATGGTTCTCTACCTACTTGGCAAGGTGACAAGCGATGCATTCAATCACAGGCCATGGGCAAAGAAACGTATTTATGCGAGATGGGCGACCATGGGCTTGCTCGACGGGTACATGACGCATGCGTGGTACTGGTTCATCGAGGCGGCTGCTCCGGCGCATCTTCCGCTGCTGAAGGTCACAGGCATGGTGAGACATCCATCGCTCAGGTTGCATGCGGTGCTGATCTCTGCTTCTTGACAGATCCTCACGTCCTCGCTCGTGTACACTCCCCTCTACTGCCTGGGATTCCTGCTTGTCATGGGGATCCTCGAAGGGAAGAGCCTCCAGTCGATTCAAGAGAAGGTGCAGAAGAACCTGCTGCAGCTGACGACTGTGACGGTGAAGACGTGGGCTCCTCTCAACGTCATCCTCTTCGGGTGAGCTTGTCGTAATCTCTAGCTCGACATGGCTGACCCTGGCGCTCGCAGTTTGATCCCGCTCCAATCTCGCGTGTGTTTCTCCATGATCTGCCATTACGTCTACTTGATCGGCCTTGCCATGTGGGAGTCTGGAATCCTCACAGCCTTCATCCTCCGCATGAAGAACTCTCTCAGCCACTTCCGCAAGGCCTCCCAGCCTCTTCCCGCGTCCTCCATGGCTGGTTCCAGCCTGATGCCGGCGACTGCCATGTCGCCAGTGGATGACAGCCTCGACCTGTCGTCTCACGGCCTTGCGTCTGCTCCTCGACCTGAAGATCTCTCTCACTCCAACACGCCGCACGCATAGGCGAGATGAGATGTAAACTAGTGTAAATAAGACTGCTGTGTAATCGTGCAAACTTCATTATCATCATCAACTTGTTTCATGTACAGTTACATTCTTCTCCTCCTCCACCTTCACCAGTCGTCAAGGTCGTCCCCGTCCTCCTCCTCAGCCTCGAACACAATCTCGTCCTCGATGCTGTTGTCGCTCAGCTCGAACGTTGGCTCCATCGTCTCCTCCTGCCCAGACGCGCTCGAGTCGTTCTTGGTCTCCTCCTTGGGTACGAAGTTCATGTAGAAGCTGAGGGCATCTTGAGCTCCGGCAGGCTTCTCCTCCCTGGTTGCCTCTGCCTCCCTCTCCGCAGCCGCCATCTCCTCCTCGACCTCCTTCAGCTCCTCCTCCATCTCAGCCTCCTCCCCGCTCCCCCTCATCAGTTTTCTCGCTTCCTGCAGCAAGTCACGGGCTTTCGCAAACTTGAGCTTCCAGTCGGGCTTGGAGGAGGACGATCCCTTCCACTCCCCTCGTGCCTTCTGCAAGAGGGACCTGACCGACTCCTCTGCTGCCTTCCGCTTCTTCCCTCGCAGCTCCTCCTCTAGCACCCCGACCTGCGTCCTGACGTCTTCAAGACCATGATCCTTGCAGAGGTACTCCGCCTCACGCAGAGCCTCCTCTGCTCGCACCAAGTCGAACACAGCAAGATGCTTCCTGGCGTCTTCCAGCTGCTCCTCTACATCCCGCCGGTGCCTGACCTGCTCCTTTTCCCGACGGACCTTCTCCTCCTCCTCCTCCTTGCGCTTCATCGCCTCGACAGCCTCTCGCTGAGGTCAACAGTGAGCAAGCAAGTGAAGAGTCAACAACAGTCATACCTCCATCGCGATTAGCCGAGCCTCCTCCTTCTTCCTCGCCTCCTCCTCTTCGAGCCTTCTCGCTTCCTGCTGCCTCCGCTCCTCCTTCTTCCTTGCTTCTTCTTCCTCCTTCTTCCTTGCTTCTTCCGCCTCCTTCTTCCTTGCTTCTTCCTCCTCCTTCTTCTTCCTTGCTTCTTCCTCCTCCTTCCTCGCTTCTTCTTCCTTCTTCCTTGCTTCTTCCGCCTCCTCCTTCTTCCTCGCTTCTTCCGCCTCCTTCTTCCTTGCTTCTTCCGCCTCCTTCTTCCTTGCTTCTTCCGCCTCCTCCTTCTTCCTTGCTTCTTCCGCCTCCTCCTTCTTCCTTGCTTCTTCCGCCTCCTCCTTCTTCCTTGCTTCTTCCTCCTTCCTCCTTGCTTCTTCCGCCTCCTCCTTCTTCCTTGCTTCTTCCGCCTCCTCCTTCCTCCTTGCTTCTTCCGCCTCCTCCTTCTTCCTTGCTTCTTCCGCCTCCTCCTTCTTCCTTGCTTCTTCCTCCTCCTTCCTTGCTTCTTCCGCCTCCTTCTTCCTTGCTTCTTCCTCCTCCTTCTTCTTTGCTTCTTCCTCCTTCCTTGCTTCTTCCGCCTCCTCCTTCTTCCTTGCTTCTTCCTCCTCCTTCTTCCGCTGTTCCTCCTTGCGCTTTGCTTGCTCTGCTGCGGCTGCCTTTCTTGTCGCCTCTTCCTCCTTCCTCCTCGCTTCCTCCGCCGCCGCAGCCGCTGCTCTGATCGCGTCCTCCTCCTTGCGCTTTGCTTGCTCCGCTGCGGCTGCCTTTCTTGCTTCATCCTTTTCCTCTTCCGCTTTCTTCCTCGCCTCTTCCTCCTTCCACCTCGCCTCCTCATCAGTCGTCGACCCCAGCTGGTGACTTGACCCCTTGTCCTGGAGGCAGATGAGAAGGAGGGGAAAGCTAGGCAGGACAGCATGACAACGAGGAGAGGAGGGCAAGAACAAGGAAGAGAAGGAGGAAGAGAGCTGAAAAAGTTGATTTTGACCTGAATTTTCCATTGTCCGTCTTCTTGTCTTAGAGAAGACGAAGTTGAAAACTCCATCTCTTCGATCGACAGATCGCCTTCCTGCAGAGAAACAAGACTGAATTTCGTTGCCAGCTGACTCCTCCTTCTCCTCCTCCTCCTCCTCCTCCTCCTCCTCCTCGCTCTCTCTCTCTCTCCCTCCCTCCTCTCTCCCCCTCCCTCCCTCCTCTCCCTCCTCTCACCTGTACATGTAGAGATGGCCCGCGATCCTGTCCCATGACAACACTCTCAGATCGCAGTTACACGTCAGCAGGTCAAGACCTCGCCGTCCTTGTCTTCTCTCATCGTCCTCTCGCTTTCTGTCCTCGTCGCCCTCACCTAGCAGATTCTCACATCCTCTCAGTTCCTCACGAGGCTGCTGACCTTGTGCGTCGCTCTCTTCGCCTCCTCTTCCTCTTCCTTCACCTCCTTCCTCCTGGACGTCTCCGTCCATCCCTTGCCCGGCTGGGAGGATGCGGCCTGTCGACTGAGTGAGCACGAGAGGAGGGCAGCCGCGTACGGTACCTCAAAAGACCTTAGCATTTTCTCTCTCCTCCTCTCCGCAAGGTATCGCTCCCTGTTCTTGCGCAGCATGTCGTTCTCGTGGTCGAGGTCGTTGATGACAGAGAGGATTCTTTTCATGTCAAACTCCCACGCATCCTCCTTGCTTCCGCTCTCCCTGCTCTGACTTTCCTCGTGCTGGACCCTTTCCTCCCTCCTCGTCCTCCCAGGGTGGGAGCTGCCGTGGGAGGGCTCGGGGGGGAGGAGAGCAGGCGGCTGTGGGAGGACACGAACATCTTCTCAACGGCAGCAGCGTCGGAGACTCTCTGCCGGTCACGATCGAGAGCCACTTGCGTCTGCCACAGCAGCTTCTTGCAGTCGTTCACCTCCTCCTCCATCACCTTCATCCTCACCCTGCTCTCCCCGAGCTCCCTCCTGCCTTCCATCAGCTCCTCCTCCTTCTCCCTCATGCACCTGCTCAGCTCGTCGTTGTCCCTCTGGAGGGACGACAGCTGGTGCTGCAGCGAGATGATCTCACTCCTCGCCGACTTCAGCTGGTTTTCCAGCTGCAGAGTCTGCTTTTCCTTCAGCAGCCTCTCGCGGCTGAAGCTAGACCTCATCTCCTCCAGCTGGCTGCCGATGGCCTCGTAGCTCTGGCTCGTCGTCCTGCTCCTCTCCCCCCTCCTCTCCTGCTCCACCTGCAGCTCCGCCATCCTCTCCTGCAGCCTCTCGCACTCGCCCTCCCTCTGCTTGACCTGCTCGCGCAGCTCGACGTTGAAGTCCTGCAGCTCCTTCAGCTCTCTCTGCGACTTCTCAAGCTTCTTCGTCAGGCTCTCGTTCTCTGCCTGCAGCACAAGACATTCCTCTCGCGCCAGCCGCGCCTCGTTCATGGCACTTCCGAACGCGTCCTCCGCCATCTTCAGCTGCAGCTTCTGCTCCTCAAGCTCCTTCCTCCCCTCTCTTAGACGCTTTTCCTCCTCCTCCGCCTTCTTCTTCAGCTCACTCCTCTCCCGCGCAACGTTTTCATCTCTCCTCCTGTCCTCCTCCACCCTCTTCTTCTCAACCTCTACGAGCTTCAATTCAAGGGCATGCTCGAGCTCCTTGCACCGGCTCTCGCTCTTTGCAATGCGCATTCTGGAGAACTCCTCTTCCTTCCTGAGCTCTCCCTCCCTCCTCCTCAGCTCCTCCAGGTCCGCCAGCATCCTCTGCCGATGATGATAAAACTGCTGCTCCACCTCCTTCTCCTTCTGCAGCATCTTCGCGCTGGTTTCAGCTTCCCTTGTCCTCATGCTCTCCAACTTCTTCTGGTAGTTGTGCTCGAGGTCTTCTCGGGTTTGCTCCAGCAGCTGCGAGTATTTCATCTGCTCCTCCAGCCGCATCTTGCTCATCTCGACCTGCCTCACCTGCAGCAACACCAGTCAGATCACGACGAGGAAGAGGGAGACAGGAGGAGAGGAGAGGAGAGGAGAGGAGAGGAGAGGAGAGGAGAGGAGAGGAGAGGAGAGGAGAGGAGAGGAGAGGAAAAGGAGACGATTACAGCAGGGGAGAGGGAGACTGAGCAGGAGGGATAGGCAATGCTTACCCGAGCAACAGCTTCCTCTACTTCAACCTTCACCCGCTCATCCGCCTCCTTCTGGAATTTTGCCAACTTCTCCTCGAGTGTCTTGAGGGGCGTCAGTGCGTTCTCGCTGGCCATCCCTCGATATCTTTCGTTTATCAACTCCATCTTTCTGTCGAACGTGGCCAGCTCCATCGTCACCGTCTGACAGTCCGCGTTCCTCGTGTGCTGCGGCTGCATGGAAGTGCGCATGATGTGTTCTAGGAGGGTGCTCAAGGCACAAGAGTCTTGCGGTGCCCGCTGGATCACTTGGTAGAGTTTGTTGTCGGGATGAAGATGCAACAGGTCCAAGAATGACTCCACAAACTTGTTACCTCCTCCTCCTCCTCCTCCTCCTCCTCCTCCTCCTCCGATGTACTGCTGTATTCCGCTCTCAGGTGCAAACACAGATGCTGTGTGCATGAAGCCGACTTGCTGCAGGTAGTCCATGATCAGCAAGTTGCCCGCCTGCTCTACGGCGTTTGGAACGCGGCGATTGCCAGTGGAGCCTCCTCGCAGCTCTGCTAAGAACTTTGCACGCAGTTGTGTCTGGTATGAAGCTGTCAGTTTATGATAGAGGGGAAGGATGCAAACGACGGAGAAGCAAGAGAAGAAAAGAAGAGGAGAAGAAGAGGAGAAGAGGAGAAGAGGAGAAGAGGAGAAGGGGAGAAGGGGAGGTGAGAGCGAGGAGGCGAGTCGGGGAGAGGGAGTATGGAGTAGGGAAAAGTCTGTGCTGTTGGGCAGGGAGAGGAGGAGAAAGAGGATTCAGCCTCTCACCTTGAGTGCATCTAGTGTCCCGTTCATCTTCAGTGTGGACGACAGACGAGCCTGCAAGTCTGAGCTCGAGAGAGAGAAGGTCTGAGGGTACCCGACCTTTGACGAGGGAGGTTGAACCCGGCCCTCTGTCCCCGAGGAGGGAGGAGGAGCAGAGGAGGGAGGAGAGCGAGAGGAGAGATGATGGGGAGGAGGATCATAGTAGTGATGATGCGAAGGAGGACTGCGTGCGCTGTTCATTGCTGCGCTCCTCGTAGGATCGGCGTGCATTGTCGCCCGCCGCCTCTCCTTTGAATTCTGGACAGGGGGGTAGGAAACCCAACCGGATCGCAAAATGGGGGTAGTGGTGAACCAGAAGGTGGATTACACCGGTTCATTTCATATTGAAATAATGGGTACCTTCAATGTGGGTGATGGTATGAATGGGTAGTAGGTAAATGGACAGGGTAGGGGTGGTAAAGCTACTTTGAAATGGCGGGAAAGGATGTTTCAGCGCAAAGATTACAGGTACGCGATGGGAGGGAGCAGGGAGGACAGGACAGGACAGGACAGGACAGGACAGGACAGGACAGGACAGGACAGGACAGGACAGGACAGGACAGGACAGGACAGGACAGGACAGGACAGGACAGGACAGGACAGGACAGGACAGGACAGGACAGGACAGGACAGGACAGGACAGGACAGGACAGGACAGGACAGGACAGGACAGGACAGAAAGAGAGGAGTGGAGAGGAGGACAGGAGAGAGGGGAACAGAGGAGAGGGGAGAAGACAAGAAGCGGGGTTCATTGAACTTGAGGGTGACATGTAGTTGGGAGGAGGGTAAGAGAGCAGGGGGGATATGCCTCTCCTGACAAGATGGATTGACCTCTCCTCTCAGGCAGTAATGAGGAGAGCGTACTTCACTCACTCGCTGCTGCCGTCAGTCTGCATGGAGTTTGACGAGATCATGAAGAGGATAGGAAGCAACCCTGCCATGTTCGGCGGCAAGGACGACCTGATCTCAAGGTTTATGAGGCGCTGTGACGATGATGTGGAGCGAATCTCCGTACTCTCTGAGTGCTTCGACGAGTCTATCCACAATTCCATGGGCGCCCGTTCAGTTCGCTCCATGGCGTCTGACTTCTCCTGCTCCACCGCTGATCTCCCCGCCCGTCAGCAGCAGGCGGTCAATTTCTCCGTCAGCAGCGAGAACCTGGTTCAGGCAGAGAGCAGAGCTCGAGACTTACACCACATCGCCTCTCAAGATTGGCAGGCAACCTCTGACGTTGCCTATGATGAGAACCATGGCAGCTACGACGATACACCCTGCTCCCTACTCATTGCAGACCCGGCGACAGGACGAGCAACCCTTTCGCCCGTTGCCAACCAGGAGGAGGAGGAGGAGGTACGGAGGCAGTCGGAGGGTGCAGGAACAGGTGGTCTAGGGGTCGGGCAGGAGGAGCTCTACTGCGCAGACTCGCTTATCGGACATTCCAGCATGTCGGAGTATGAGACAGCGTCCCTAGAGGGCGAGCGAGTCGGTGCCGGCAGCTCCGACGACTCAGCAGACAGCGAGCAGGATGTGGAAAAGCCCCATTGTGCTGCTGATCGTTCACATGCCACAGGGGCAGAGGAGGTGGAAGGGCTGGAGGCGTGTAATGGGGAGGTGGAGAAGGTCCTGCAAGAGGCAGGAAGGGGAAGAGAGGAAGAAGTCAGCAAAGATCTGCTCAGCAAGAGCCAGGAGGAGCTGGAGCGCGAGCTAGAGTGGACCAAGTTCGCACTGGAGAGCCGGCGGCAGTACTTGAGGAGCAAGCGATCGAAGGCAGGGAGAAGGCAGGGGAGGGATGGCGGAGAGGCAGGAGAGGAGATTGGGGAAGCAGCCGGACGAAGGAGGTTGGAGGCGTGAGTCGGGAGATGAGGGAGCGATGAGCACAGGGAGGAGGCGATGCGCGTGGAAGTAACATGTTATACAACTATTTGCACATTCTAGTTTGAGGTAGACATCCCCAGTCTGGCTCTTCTCGCCACCTTGACGAAGGCTTCTGGGCACATGGCGTCCTCCGAGTCGTCAGTTCCCTTCAGCTTGCTGTTCTCCTGTAGCGCCTGCATGAAGAGCTTGGAGACGTGGTAGCGGTTCGGGTCCTGAGCATGTCCTCCCCCGACGTCCATGACGAGCATCTCAAACTCCTGCAGGTCGAGCACATTGTCCCCGTTGGTGTCATGCTCCTCGAACTTACCCCTCAGGAACCTGTCGTGCTCCTCCGACTTCTGCAGCCACACCTGCGTCATCATCGCCATCCACTCGTGCAACGGCAGGTCTCCCTCGTGCTTCTTGATGGTCTCGCCAATCTCTTCCTCCATCTTCTCTGGAAACTGCCCGAACCCGTACTTGAGCCAGGCCTTCATGGTCGCCTGCATGGCTGCCGTTGGGTCTATGCAGGGGTTCTGGTTCCTGATATTGTCGAGTGACTCCTTGATACTGTTGAGGTTGAAGAGGAAGGCAAGAGCCCCGACAACAAAGTCACTGAGGTCCTCGTGCCAGTAGGGATGGTACAAAATCCCCGACACCAGCCCGAACGTCTTGACCCTGAGGTTGAAATTCTCCCCCTCCGAGAACTTCTCGACCCCCAGGATCAGCGACTGCAGGTTGGTGAGCGCGATGCTCCGCAGGCCGAACTTGTTGATCAGGAACTCTCGGATGTACTCGGGCATGCTCTGCCTCTGATTGTGTTCACGATCGTCAACGGTGTCAGCCAGCGCCTTGCCTTCATAGATGGCTGCAGACAGCTGTATGACCTGGTCAAAGCGAGCAGCGGTGATCTTCTTTCCCCTGAAGATCTTGTTGTCTATCCTGAAGCTCGCACGCCTCATCTGAAGTAAGTTGTCCTTCACAGTCGGCATCCTCTTCATGGACTCAGTCCTGACCATCTCAGTCGCCGCAGCGGGCTCGGGGGTCGCAGCCCGGGTCTCCTCAGCTTTAGCACGCTCCTGGTATTCTTCCTCCCTCTTCTTCAATTGAGAAATCTCCTCTCTCATCTGCGCCTCGTTGGCTTCATACTCTGCGATCTTCGATTCCATCTCCGTGATCCGCTCCATGTTCTTCTCCAGCAGGGACACCAGCTCTTGCAAGAAGTGAGCGAAGCTCGTCCCGGGCACCTTCTTGATGTGATTTCCCATCATGTGCGCAAGAGAGGACCAGAAGTCAGACGCCAACTTGCCTTGGGCTTGTTGGGCAACGACCTCCCAATCCACCTGCTTCACTCTGTCGAACTTGCCTGTGGACTGTGTTTGTTCGCCAGCATGTGACATGTCTATGAAGACAGAATAGAGCTGATCGACTATCTCTGCATGCGTCAGAAATGCTTTCAAGCTGTCAGGACTTTGCCAAGTTTGGAGTGGATCACTTTCAGTGACCGTGCTGGGATGATCACTGGCCAGAGCTTGATTCAACTGCTTCTTCAAGGACTCCACCTCCAGCTGCAGGTTCTTGTTCAGGAGCTCAACTTCCATCAGTCTTTTGCTTGTTGATTCAGCACTGGCAATCACTTCGTGCATCTGTTGATCATGTCGGTTTGCCTGTGACCTCATGTCGGCGTCATGGAATGCCTTCATCTCCCGCTGCTTGTCCTCCGCCTTTTGCATCAAGACCTGTTGTTCCTTGGCCATCTGCTCCTGCAGCTCCTTCAGCTCATTTTCTCTTTGTTTCCGCAAGTTTTCGCTCTGCTCGAAGATTGTCTTGAGGTTTTGATATTCGCTAGAGATGCCAGTCAATCTTGCAACTTCTCCTTCTGACTTAGACAAGTTCTCTCTCAGAGACTCGTTTTCCTCCTCTTTCCTCGCGAGGGAAATCCTGGTGAGTTCAAGTTGCCGTTGCAGCTCGTCGATCTGCTTCGAGATAATTCTTGACTCCTTCTTGACAAACCGGCGGAACACGTCCTTCAACAAGAGGAGCATGGGATACGCATCGACCCTGGTCTTGGGGATTGCTGATAGGAGCCATTCTGAGAGCAGCTCGATGTCGCAGGCTCCATTCTCTTCTTCGAGCTCAAGTTTTGCGGGTTCAGTTTCAAGGTAATCGGAATAATACATTCTCATGTAACTTCCTGGCTCATCGGGTTTTTGGTTCATCGCAACGCTGAAATGAGACAGTAGCCGACTTCTTTGGTTGAAATTGCTGCCAACGACGAGCATTCCTTTCGTTAAGAACCTTCTGACAAAGACTCCCTGATTGTGCTTGTCTTCTGGCATCATATTTCCATCATGCATAGAACTTACATGCTCACTCGGACTCTTTCGTCGTGTGCTCGCTTCCGAGACAACATCATCTGACACAGACGTCAATCCCATAACAAACGCGAGATAACAGATTGAGAAGAGAAGGGGGTGGAATAATGGTACAAGAATGCAGTAAATACGATCAATACCTGGCACTCGCTCGAAACTCATATCTGGGACCCTGGTGACCTTGTTGAAGTAAGACTTAGCACACGCGCTCTGCGGGCGGGCAGCGCTAGAAGGACGGCATGCGCTGAACGGCCTCGGTCTACTTCTCATGTTCCGTTCGCCGTGCTCAAGCCCTTCGAAGACCATGTTCCCGCTCTCCACACACCTCTACTTCACACGCTTCCTACAACCTGTGAATCACGTCAGGCTGCGACCAACAGATGCGGGTAACGGATGCATGCGCATGAGGCAAGCTGAGAGAATGATAGACAGTTAAGGGATTGACGATGATCTGTTTGTGGAGATACAACCAGAAGGATTTAAAATAGTCCTCTTGTCCACCTCATCATATCTAGCTCATGGTAAAATGTAGTGGAGACCAATCTGCAAGTGGAGACTCGTACGAATGCGTCTGGTTTGGGACTTGCTATGAACACGAACGTAAGATGAATCGTGAGCTGAACCTGTGAGCTATGAGGTGAAATTCATCATCGATGAAGATGAACTAAGAGCTACCTATCCATCTGTAAAGCAAAGTATGTCTACACGGGAAGCTGTTGAGTCGTTAAGAACAGTGTACAATTCTTGCATGGCTCAGTAGTGATCAGTTACAACAACACGAAACGACCAAACAATCAACATGTAGCATATCATGCCATGTCTGTTGTTAAGATCAGCATGTTCTCCCAATCCTCCCCATCATATTTCTGCTGGCTACTCGTAAAATTTTAACATCTCATGACATCGCTGCGGCTGCCCCCCTCCACCCCCACCCCCAGATTCTGATCTTTGGATGTATGATCCCGTTTACCACCCCTCCCTCCTCCAACTAATCGTTTTGACTTGGTCTTTCAAAGGAAATCTCAGTACCCCTACCCCTACCTTTCCCACCCTCGACCTACTCCAACCCATGCTTTTTTGTACCCTACCACATAATTTCTATTTGATCACCCCTATCTCCCCATGGCTTCCCAGGTGGTGCATTATAGTGTCTTGACCTTCAAAATACCCCACCCTACCAAGGAATTTAGTGAGCAGACCCCTACCCCTCGAAATCATCATTGATACCACCCCCACATATATGTCGAGCAAAGTATCCTTCCCACAGATCCTCGGCTAGAAATGTACCACCTCAACATCACCCCACCCCACCCCCTGCCTTGTGACTGTTTCGGAGAATACCCACACCTCCAACGACAATATCTAAGTACCACCCCTCGCCTCATGATCTTACCCAACATTCCATATCATGCACACTATGTCATAATCTTATAGGTGTGCACCTATCAAATCGCTGCACTGCGATGTATCATACACCATATGTAATTACCCTACCTAGGGCAACAGGGAATACTACCCCCCTGTAGCAACCGATTAATTTCCATCGGACCCCCCCCTCACCTCGTCGATGACCCTCATCTCGACCCCTTCCTCACTTCATTGGACCCTTTTCCTCAATGCAAAACTGGTACCGTACCCTACCCCACTTTTCATAGGGAAGTACCCCCGTTCTCGTCCAGCATGTAAAGTCCCCCACAGACAAGATGACGGAATTTTTCTTTTCTACTCGCTTCTACACCACCCACCCTATCAATATCCCATCATTCCACCTAATATTCACCGGTCCCAGAACCGCTGTATCCGGCAAAAGCTCCTACTTGAACATGTTTTTAAAAATATTGTCAAAAATCGAAAATATTCTTTTTCTTATTTTATTAATATTTTGAAGTTTTGATCGAGTCAGCATTTGTTGAAAACTCACCTGCGACCACCGGTCATTGTCTGATATGGCCCGAGAAATAACCACCCCTGATTTCCCCACCCTC